AGACAGTAGCTGGTGCTTGCTAGTTACTGGTATGCCATTGTGCTAGTAACAGGCATGTGTATCTCCGGCTTTATGTAGAAAGTCAGTTAACATTCAAGATTAACCCTTTCGCTCATACATTTTTGTTTTTTAAGATAAAAATTTGAAATTTGGTAGGCATATTCTTTTAATTTTTATAACATTTTTGGCCTACTCAAAATAATTCCCTGTTACCCCTTTTAAGGATGTAAATTGTACAGTATATTGTACATTGTGAACAAACGGTGTATACGACCTGTACAATATATTGCACATTGTGAGTAAATTGTAGTAGCTCTTGTGACTTTCTAAAACAAAATACAATTAAAAATCATATCTGCAACTAATTATTTATTTGTATGATATTAACATAAAACAGTTTTGTTTTTTTGAAATACATAAGTCTATATTGCACTTTTTACATACGAAATTGGTTCTAGAATCACATTTAGGGAACTTGCACCTAGAAGAAAAGGATTTGTCATCTATAATTGGCAAATGATCAAATTCGTCCAGCCTTACTTCTGCTGCTGGTCTAGTTTGTTTTTTGTTTTTTCTTTGACGGAGATGACGTCGATTCTCTTGTATCCAAAGGACGTCCCCGTTTTCTGGAGGATACTTTGTCCGATTTTATCAAAACTTCAGCGACATATGCCATAAAATGAACCAAATCCAATATTTGCTTGTCCGGAATACCTAAAGCAATCGCCTTTTGCCTGTATTCCAGCCAGGCATTAGAACAGGCGATATCGATACTATGTGTAAACATACGAAGTGTCCACTTCCTGGAACGAATAAAGGTTCTGTATAAAGTAATCAAAAAGTCGCATTTATCAACCATATGTTGGTTATATTTTCTAATTACTTCAGGTCGTTTGACATAAATATATTGTTTCTTATTTTTGTCCCACCTTTTACATTCATCTTCTTTTCCTATACCCATAAAATTAGATTTAAAATTAAATTAGCTTTCATTCAACTCATTATCATCATCACTGCTAACTTCTTGCTCCCTATCTCCCCAATCATAATCGTCATTGTCATCATCACTAAGCCCGTCAATATCTGATAGGCCCGCCTCAATTAGCTCCATTAGTTGTTTTTCATTTAACGGCTTTCTTTTACTCATTTTTATATGTATTTTAATACTGCAAAATAAATAAAATATAAACAACTGTAAATAATGTCTGGTTTTGTCGACCTCTGTATGTTCACACTGTACAGTATACTGTACACTAATGTTTACTCAAATATAGAAAAAACAAACAAACTTATCAGAAAGTGGACCGTAAATGCAGCAAATACAAGTGTTTCTAGTCATCAACAAAAATATATCGGACATTTACAACCAATCTGTAAATTATTAAAAGCCACCTTACATCCAGACAATGAAGTAACCGTCACAGCAACCTACTTCCTTGAATTTAATTTTTTTTTACTTTAAACTAATCAACGCTACATGGAAGCAACTGTTTGAAATTAAAACTAATATGTATACATTATAATGTACATTGTGAATAAAGCGGATAGAAGCATCTGGTCACGTCATTTTGATATCGGTAAAGTGATGTACAATATACTGTACACCATGAGCGAAAGGGTTAAAGAAACCATCACATAACAGTAATTTAGAAGCAATATTCAAAAGTTAAAGCAGGATGAAAGACAGTATTGCAAGCATTGACACAATTATATAACTTATGCCTTTCAAAAGAAGTTACACCATCTCAGTGGAATAAAGCTGTTATAGTAGTCATGCACAAAAAGTGAGATATAACAGAGCTAAAGAGACCTGTTAGCTTGTTATCTCACATTTAAAAGTTGTTTATGAAGATAATAACTAATAGGTTAACATCAAAACTAGACTTCTATCAACCTTGCGAGCAAGCAGGATTTAGAGCTTGATACGGAACAAATTATCATTTGCAAACCATTAAGTTGTTAATTAAAAAAACCATTGAATATAATAAACCCCTGATACTTGTCTTTGTCAACTTTGCAAAAGCATTTGATACAGTCTCAAAGTGAAATGCTCCAAGCTCTAATACAATGTAGAATAGATCACTGATACATATCCCTCATCAGATACATCTATCAGAATGCTACAGCCTGTGTAAGATTTAATGAAGATACTGAAACCTTTTGTATTGAAAGAGGTGTTCGGCAAGGAGACATGTCTCCTAAATTATTTACTATGAAAACTTTGCTAGAATACGCTTGTAAAACAATAGATTGGAATGAAAAGGGCATCAATGTAGATGGAAAATTTTTAAATAACCCTAAATTTGCAGATGATATCGTTATTATTGCAGACAGCTTTGATCATGCACAGATAATGCTCCAAGAACTCCATACTTTTCACAAAAAGAATTGGTCTTAGAATAAATTTTTCAAAAACACAGTTTATGATAAATATAGTCCACAACAAAAACATCTCAGTAGAAGACAATGATGTTGAGCCAGTTGAACTCCTATAAATACTTGCCATGAGATCAGAATAAGTCGAGACAACCAAGCAATCAATCTGAAAAGAAGAATAAACCTTGCTTGGGCTGCATTTGGAAAGATGACGGATATTTTTAGGTCTAAGATTCCAATGTGTCTGAAAAGAAAAGTATTTAATCAGCGTATTTTGTCAGTGATGACCTACCACGTAGAAACCCTAACACTCACAAGAACAACAGTGAGTAAACTACAAGTTGTGTAAAGGGCAATGGAGAGAATAATGTTAGGGATTTCTCTATGTGATAGAATACCCAATGCTACTATATGCAAACGATCAGGAGTAGCAGACTTTATTGAAAGAATAACAACACTAAAGTGGAACTAGGCTGGTCATATAGCAAGATCAGTTGATGGCCTGTGGACAAAAAGAATTTTGGAATGGAGACCCCGAATACAAGCTAACAGAAATAGAGGTCTACCCCCAATGAGATGGACATATAACATAAAAAGAGTGACTACAAATTGGATTCAGGTGGCGCAAAATCAGACTAAGTGGAAAAGCATGCGAGGCCTATGTTCAGCAGTGGATGTTAGAGGCTAGTTGATGATGATTCAAAAGTACTTTTAGAATTATGTAAAATACATTCACTAAAATTTAAGAAGTATGCTGTAGATGAAATAGCAAAAGAAAATGGGAGTTATGGTGTTGCTAATACCGGTTTATTGCAATCTTAACCCCACTGAACTAATCTGGAACAAAATGAAGGGATATATTATGGCAAAAATTTAACAATTAAACTTGAAGTTATTCGTCAATTACTAAAAAACTCAAGATCAAAAATTTCATCTGACAATAATCACAACTATCAAGTCTCAACTATTTGCAACATTTTCAACCCATAAAATCAGCCATGTGTATCTCCAGGTTCTAATAGGAAAATGATTACAGCATACAAGAATAGTAGACAAAGCTGTTAGAAAAGAAGCTGAAAATATTCAAAAAAGCAGTGAATAAGGCAATGGAACACAAAAAGCTAATATTAGAAACTAGGAGTTCTATAGTTGGAAGTATTTCAGAATACAAAAACTAAAAAGTACAAAAAATTCATATGATCAATAAAAAAGAAGTATATTTTAAAATATCTGAAAATTTCAGTCTTTAATATTTTAGTTTTATTCTTTCCTTCTTCTAAATTTTCCTATCATTTTTAGTATCTCTGTGATCTAACAAAAACATTTCCTTCCTATCAATAAAAACTAAAAGACCTCTCTGCATTAGAATAATAATAGCACATTTCTGGTTGTCCTTTCAAGATTTTGCATATTTGTCCTTTGTTAATACTGATAATGGAACTATTCTTTATGTGAATATTTATAAAGAACTTATTAATATGTATAATAAGAGAATTTATTAAACAAAATGAGCCATTAAAATACAGGGCTATCAGAAATTACATCCAGGAAAACTTCTTTGTCTATTTAATATATTTTAATTTTTAATATGGTTTTGTATTTATAAATAGTTATTGTAAAATTAACATGGAGTTAATCAATATCTGCATTTATTAGTTTAATTTTCAGAAAATAGAAAAGCCTTATCAATATTGTTATAAAATTTTCTATATTATTTTTGCATCCTGTGTTATATCATCTATACAAAGTCCTAATTTCCTAGTTGGCGTAATAATTTTCTATTATTGTGACATATGGAAGAAAAAATCTTTCAATGCATATGAAGACAAGAAAATGGAGTTAAGATGAAAAATATTTATAGAAGATGATACAACAAATAACCAAAAATATCACAATATCCCAATTATAACATCCTCTTTCAGGGAAACTTTACAATTGGATAATATTAAATGCAACTTTACATAGGTTTTTGGAGTCAAAAAGGGGTAAAGTTAATACCAAAGAATTAAATTCTTTAATACCATTGATCCCTGAGAACAAAAAATTTAAGGCTGAAAAGAACAGGAATAAATTGTAGATATTATGATGTATCACTAGTAGATTGCATATTAGATCATTTTACTCATACACTTCTTTCTGTAATTCAGAAAAAATCAAACAGAGCTACACCAGCTATCTTATATGACAAATAAATTCATATTGTGATTTTTCAAACATTTTAACAGTTTGTCTTCTGTTTACATATTTTAATATTAAGATTATTGTATTATTGATGTCATTTCTAAAATACACTCTCGGAATATAACAAGAAAAGCAAGAACATTTTCTTTGTGTAGAGAAAATGTTTTGAGAGTTAGCTTTTACTAGAATACCACACAAAAAGAATAATAATACAAACTACTTTTGATATTAACAAAAATGGATCACCACAAATACTTATAAATGGTGCAAAGACTCAGTAAGTATGTCAAACCATGTGGGGAGGTGAAAAAATACTTCCACCGCCACAAAGAAACTTTTAAAGGTTGCAAATAAGTAACATATCGTTCACCACTATATCTTAACATATGAATTAATACATTTTGAATGTTTTATAATGTAAAGTTATTTGTTATATGACTTACCGTTTGGTGAATGCCCCCTTGTACTGGCATTCAGTCTTTGAATGGAAGACTCCCCTCGCCTTGGAGTGCCCTTCTGAAGAGCACCCTGTTGTTGGTTAGTCTTGGAGGGATGCCTAAAAGCACGAGAAGTAACGCCGACTATTCTTCCACCCTCTGAGTGCTTCGTAGCCATTGCCATATTGAGCAAAATATTTTTACTGCAAAGTCTTTTGTCTTTATTAAAAAATGAATAGATAACACAATCAAGTCACTCTATCTGCTTTTATCACAGACCAAGTTAAAGAATTTTGCGTTTAAAAACAGCAACTATCAATACGACGCAAATTTTGCTGGCTTTCACAAAATGGACGATGATTATAGGCAGGACAAAGAACAATCACTCCAGGACTTTCTCTTTGTCTTCGTATGTTTACAAATCTACACAGCTGGCACTATTAACCACGAACTTCTTACTCCTCTCATACAAACACTGCTTTTGAGCGCAAAATTCTAGAATATTTCCATTTCTTGGCTATCCAAAAACTTTATTTATAACATCTGATCGAAGCTTGCTTTAGTTGGGACATATTTATCCCCTCTCTTTCGTTTGACGTCACAATTTGCCCCACTACCAGGAGTTTCCTGTTTACATACAGCTTTATCGATTAAATATGTATTTTTATTTAAGTGGCTAATAAAATACCAGAATATAATAATTTAATGACAGTATATCATATTTTTTTCTCTAAAATAAAATTACCTTAAGCAACAAATTAATTTACTACATGTTCTACTGTATAGGCAACTAATATTCTATTCAGAATTTTGAAATAGGTAGTTTTTCATTTCTAGCTGCTTCTTATTTTGATATTATGTGATCAGTGTTTTATGCTGTTTGATTAGATGAACGCATTGAAATAATTAAATTCATTAAATAAAAATGGAATGCACTTGTTTTCTAAGTTTTATTTGTTTTTTTTTTCTCACTTTATATTGTCATATTAATTTATTACGTAATTTTTTTCTTATATAAAAAATATTAATATTTATATTCATTTTACAAAAATATCTTAAAACTTTTACCAAATGTTTTACTTACTAAATACTGTTGAATTGATTGCCTATATTCAGGAAAAAGAAATAACATTTGATGGTGTATTGTGTGTGTACAGTACATACATAGAAGTTTGGGTTCTCTGACTCTGACTACATTGCTTAGTCACAGGACACCAGACACCACAGGAAATATTCATACAGTGATCTCTTGTTTTTCGACGTACAGCCAAACCCACCAAACAACTACCATAATTTGACATAAATAATAAATTTGACGTAATTCGACATAAACATGAATCTAAATATTTTGAATGATATTATAAATTAAGTGAATTCAATTTTTAAATATTTCCATTTATTATCAAGTGGTATAATCTAGCTGTAATATATGGTATTTAAAGTAGGCATATTACAATACATTTAATTGTGTTAGTAATATCACAGAATATACCAGTTGCGATGGAGTATTCTGTGGTAATATGTCATTACGGTAAATATGTCATATCTGTGATGTCATTGTACTTCTACTTCTACTTTCTAGGGTTATGTTATGAATTTGCGGAATTCGTACCTTGAAGTATTTTGCTACATTTAACTTTTAATACAAATACCAAGATGTGGAAAACATTTACCATTGATGAGAATATTTATATGCTTAAAGTCGTTGACAGTGACAACAACGTTGAAATATATTTATCCAATTTGACGACAATATGGACATGTATCCTTTCTCAAGAAGCATTAGTAGAAAACTTCCAGGTAAATAATATCCATTTGACTGTCTGAATCAATGATATCGATATTCATTTAAGGAATGCAATCCAGCTATCGAGCAAACACCAGAAGAATATTTACAACATGCCAAAAATCTATTAAATGAAGTTGAAAGTGCAGAAGTTAAAATTATATGCAATGATGGAATATCTAATCTGAAATTAATAATTAAAACAAACCTAACGAGTAATTTCAAGTTTAAATTAAAACTGGAACTAGATTTTACACTAGCAGAGGTAAAATTGGTAAGTTTTTGATCATTTACACCCACTGTTTCTTCAGTTATCTTTATGTTTTTACAACAGCTTTTGTTCTAACAGCTCTTTAAACAGGGAATTTGGAGAAAATAATAACAAAATTATAAAGTACAAACTCTCCATATCCATAAACTATTGTCGGATCATATGACTTAATTTATTTAGTCTAGGGAGAATTAATTACTATTTAACTGGGAATAAGCCAAGAAAATAGCTTCAGAACAATACCTAACTGAAATGTTTCGAAACTAATCATTAAAAAGAAATGTTTTTGTCTTTGCTACATTAAATTTTCTTTTTAGTTCACTGAAAAGATGACTATACCTTTAATACAGACAATAATCCTATTAGAAAAACAGCAGAAAATGATGAAAAACTTGTTATTAAAAAAAGACAGGGAATTGGACGAATATCAAATGGAAAAAGGAGAAATATCAAGAAGTGAGTCACTGTTTAGAATAGAAATTTTTAATATATCTGTTATATCCTTTATTTGATTTTGTATAATATAATCTCTGATTTCTTTTATTATTCTTATAGATTTTTTTTGTTATTTTGAGCTAGTATTTACAATTGTCTTGTTTTAGGTGATTTAATTACAGAAAAATTCAATACAGAATCATTGATAACAGCAAGCAATACATTGATGTTGAATGTTTTCCAAAATCACGCTGAAGATATCAAAAAAATATACGGAACAGTAGAAGAAAAAATTGAAGAGTAAGATAATACATTTAAATTGTTAATTATGTTTTAATTTGAAGGTGAAAATTACTAGTGATGGGATAATTCGAATTAAAAATCCTCGGTTATCCGGTTATTAAAATACTCGGAATAATCCGATTATTCGACTACCGAAATATATTCTATAAGGTGTAATATACTCATCGAGGTCTTTTTGCTCGATGAATATACTACATTGTATTCAATATTCGAATACTGTGGACAGGAATGAACGAATTTCAACAAACATTCGAATTCTCACTGAAGAAAGATGTTTCATCAAATCTAGTTCTAATCCGGTCAAGTTTAGAAAATAACTGATCAGCTCAAGTAGAGGTGATAGGTGATATGTATGAAATATAGCTACTCGCACTGACCAATTGTTTTCTGACATTTTTTGTGTCGTTTGATCAGACATTGGAACGAATTTATAATAAATGAATTATTTTCAGGTTAAGGATACATATTGGGATGATTGGTGTTATGAGATTCGAAAAAAAAACTAATAAAATAATATATTATAAAATAAATTAAAACTTCATACACAAAATAGTACTAAACACAATAATTTTCATACTGTCAAAAAAAAAGAATTGGTGGAATCGAGACCAAAAATATAAACTCTTTCAGATGGTACAGAAGTTCCAGGAATACACAAATATTTCACTGCCAACTCATACAATTCTGGTAAAAGTATTGATGTTTTATCCAAAATTCTAAAGGGTCTTTTAGTAGTGGTAGTGGAATTTGAAAAATGTTGTTTTCTGATACCTTTCTGTCAAAATGAGACCATATATTAAGGTTTTCTGTAGTGGGTTGATTTGTCTGATCTGAGTTAGTTTTCAACTGAGGCGAAGCAGTAGACTCTGTTTTTTTACTTAAAATTAATTTCGTCGGTCACCCACTTTTCTGCATTCATTGCTGAATGCAATTTTTTTTTTAATCTTAGGTCAAGAGATGTAGCTTTGGCAATAGTTTTACTTGACTCAAAACTACCCAAACATTGGTGGACTGTTTGTAACCATTTTAATTTAAGAGAATCTCCAACATTTGTTACAGTCGTATTTTGCAACGCAAACTGTATTCCTCGAATTATTGGTATTAACAAAGACACTGTAGGGTAATTCTCACTAGATAATAGTCTTGTTATATCATCTGCTGGTTTTAACACCGTTATACAGTCATTAATAACTTCCCAGTCATCTGCATTAAGAAATTCTGGTGGCTTTGACAAGTTTGCTACTGCAACACACAATGGGTTCTTTATTTCCAAAAGTCTTTATAGCATATGGAAACAAGAATTTCATCTTGTAACAACCTCCTGTTTCACCTTTAGATTAGGTAATCCCATCTGTTTAAAATGGTTCACAAGTGCCCTACATTTTTTTAATATGTCATTTAATTCTGCAACATCCGTCAAACTTTTTGTCACTGTTAAATTCAATGTATGAGCAACACATGGTAAATGAAAAATTTGTGAATAATTCGAAATATCACTTTTAATATTCGCCCCGTTATCGGAAACAACCGCTATAATTTTATTTTCAATTTTCCAATGCTTAAAAATATCACCCAACATTAATGATATATTTTCACCCATATGTGAATCTGGTAGTTCCCTCGTTGATAAAACATGTGCGCGTAGGACACTTTTAAAAATAAAATGGCCCGTTACTGTTATATAGGCTTTATTACTATCAGATGTCCAAATATCTGTAGTAACAGAAATATATTTTACATCACTAATAATTTTTATTAAAGTTGAAGTCGCTTCTTCATATTGTTTCGGTAGTAAATCATAAGTTAATTTTTTGCGGCTTGGCGGAGTGTATAAAGGTTGTGGAGCTTTAGAATATTCTAGAAATCCTGCATTTTCTACTAAAGATAAGGGTTGATAATCCTTCGTTATCATTTTAATTAGAGCATTATCTATTTCACTGACAAGTTTCTCCTCTGACAAGTTACTGTGCTGTTTACTTCCAAACAGTTTTAACTGTTTAGTACGAATTACCTCAACATTTTTACTATTAATCATGGTGTCTTTAACCATAGCCTGGGAAGTAAATGGCTGAGATTCAGTATTTTCTTTACTCACCTCTATCACATCAGCACTACCAATAGCACTTGAAGGTATTATTTCATTTTGTAAATACGAAATAGAATGAACTCTTTTTAAATGTTGTTTTAAGTTGGATGTACCTCTGAAATATTTAAATTGTTTTTTACGAATATTAAAACTGACAGTTTTGTCCGCATTTTTTTACAAAATAACGCCACACAACTGATTTCTTTACACCTGGTCGCATACTTTCGTGAATATATACCAATTTTATGCAAGAAATATAACAAATAGAATAAACAATAAACGATTTTCATAAACAACAGACTTCTGTCACTCTGTAAGTTAGAATTTATTCCGTGAGATTGAATCGAATCACTCACACATCGATTTGACTACTTTGATACCTGTGTTTGATACTTCCAAGTAATTCCTAATTCGGATCGTTCTCTTGTTCTCATTCTGCCTGCGCATGCGAAATAAATTCTCGGTTATTCGGATCATCATCCGAGGATTAAAATACTCGAATCGTTCCTATCCGAGTATTAACATCATCCGAATATTCCCATCACTAAAAATTACTGGGTTTCAGAAATCTTTCTTCGTCCCTGATCGTTAGGCAATCCATAATACACTGTACTGTATGTTTAAAGTCCACACTCCTCATTACAATTACAGTCTTGTGCATAATTGGTTGCCTAACCGTGAGTCAGTTTAAATAAATTAAAATTTTCCTTTGGGAAACTAAAATTGGTATTATTTTTCAGAGTTGAAGTCGAATCATGGAACAGTGTGAAAAAGAAAAGGAAAATATATAACAAAGAAACTGCAGATAGGACAAAAGTGTCTAAAATTGTATATCATGGCGAAACAACTATAAAACAGGAAAATTAGGCTTTTGATATTTTTTAATGTAACTATGATAGTTTTAGATATATGTATATTCTTTGTTTTGTTAACATTTGGTGGTTTAGATGATCTATAAATTATTTTTGCAATTCATTTAGACTATTTTGAGATAAAACTTTATAGTACTACTGCTGTGGTCATACCTAACGGTACTTTATCTCACGTACACCGTGAATCAACAGATTTTTCTTCTGTTTAATTCAGCGTCCCACATTCTTATGGTATAACCTTGAATGAGCATTCCATGTAATTAGTAGCAGTATCTTGTTCATTTATTTTTAAATGAATTTTTAAACAAAAATAAAGCTTGCCTTCACGGAATAATGAGAATGACGAGGATAATTTGAAATTAGATTCTTAATTGAACAATTGTATCTACATAGGAGATATAAGTAGATAATTTGAATTTAACTATGGGGAGTGGGACTCTGTGGACTACAATAAAGCATTTATTTATTTGCTTTTTACAAATTTTAAAGCCCAAAATACATATTTACATATTCACATAGTATGTTCACAGTTTAATGCTTAAAAGAATTATTTAGAGATATACTGTGGTATATGTTAACTGCTTCAGTTAAATCATGACTAGTAAAAATTAAAAAACTTTCACTTATAATCCGGTCTATTTAGTCATCAAAATAGTTGGCAAATAACAAAAATTGCCGGAAAGCCAAATTTTGGTGGAGAGCTAGAGTTTACCATAACAAATAAAAAATTTTAAAAGTCCCATCGATCCCATGTGTGGAACAAAAGTTGCACAGACAAAATATCTAAAGAAGTCAAAACAATAGTTAACCTAATAATCAATAGCAATATCAATAATAAGGTAATATCTAGAACTTTACCGTTATTGTTTCCTTAAATTATTCTAAAATCGTCAAAACAGTTAAAAGTTTTAAAGTTAAAATAGTTTTAGTGGAGTAGGCCTACAGGGGAAACCACGGTAAAAAAAACGCACCGATCACACTACCTCACAGGTGGTGTGGAAACTTGTGCATATCATGTATAATGAGAGTCTTAGAATCGCGATATCTCAGGAATGGCAACTCTTAGTAAAAAAATCGTAAGGACAATTTTTGTAGAGAATTTTAAGATCTACAACTTTGGTTTAAGTTTTTTTGATAAAACTTAACGTTTTCTAAAAAAAATCCAAAAAACCTCAAATTTTCACCTTTGACCCCGAATAACTTTTGTTGCACACGTGGGATCGATGGGGACTTTAAAACGTTATTTGTTATGGTATACCCTAGCTCTCCACCAAAATTTGGCATTACGGCAATTTTTGTTATTTCAAATCTCTATATAGACCGGAATATTATTATAACCTTGTACTTTGCATATAAAATAATAAGTATTACCTACTTCTGTATGTTTTGAGGAAAAAATGTTTCTTTGTTAAAATAAAGCTTAATTAATAAAGTTATTTTGATACAATAAATATTTTCTAATTACCAAAAAAAAAAATTATTCATTTCTTATCTACACTTTTGTTTTATATTTATAATTTCGTTTTTACAATGACAACAGTATTGTAGACCCCCTCTGGTTCTATTTTTAGATCAATTGTTTGCCATTTAGTTTCCCAATTACAATGAAAACAACAAAACAATTTAGTATTCTGTTTGGTAAGATTGGCTGCACACATTTACAAAACTTGTTTTTGTAAATTATTTCTACCTGTTGCAGTGCAATCAACTGCACAAAATTGGTCAGTTGCAATGTTGCCATATCTCAAAATGCACCGAGTGTAGGTGGCAAATATAAATTAAAAATCATTATTATTCATGATCTTTTGATGCCTACAAGACTCATTAACACCTAGACATTGTTACACTTTTAAAATCGTCTAAATGGGGCTCCTCGTTTAATACTATAATTTCCTTATTGCAGGAACTAAAAACGTGAATCCTTGAGTTACTACTTTTGCTAATACAATGATTAGAAGAGAAGGAAAGGAAGCAGAGGGTTACCTGTTCATTTTGTGTATTTCTTTTTTGTTTTTTCCACTTAATTCTTAATTATAGTATATTATAATATTCAGCCATTTTGATTCGTTTTTCTATCTATTTGATTTTTTAATTCAAATTTTAGTGGATTCTTTAGAATTATTTTTTGTTGTTTTATTATAATGGTATTGAATTTACACCTCGTATTGTAGTTTTATTGTCAAAAGATATAAAAACAGATGTAATTATTAATAAATTATTAAAAAGTGCAGAGTTGGCTTGAGGGCGACTGGAACATTCGTTTTATATTCCTCAATAAGACTCTAACAGTTTGATAGTATACTTGTTACTACTGGTCTTCCTTCAATTATATATTGTATTTTGAACATGTCGAGAATGATTGTATGCAATTTGAGAAAATTTTGACAATTCCCAGGATTGTGGGTATATAGCAAAATGTAATTGAATTAAAGTGGTATTTTATTGCAATTGGATTAAAAATCAAAGTTCGTGTTTTTAATTATTGCTGCACAAATGATTTTAAACTGATTTATTTAAAAATTATTTTAAAATAATTTATTTAAAAATAAATAATAGTCATTCAAATTGTAATCACATACTGGGTTACCAATAACATTAGTTTTGTTCACAGATAGAGTCATTGACTAGTTTCCGACAAGTTAAGTACCAATTAGGGATTATGGTTTTGTGCTGGCGCGGGAAGTTATTAGTTTCCAACTTTAAATTATCTGCGAACGATTTTCGGACATTGACTGTTTCTAACCTCAAAACAGACCAAAGTTTCTAACCGAAAAGGTCACATTTTTGCATAGACATATAATACAAGAAATACTGAGCCTTGCAATACCACGCCGTTCCCCCAGTGTGACTGAAAACTGAGGCAAAGCAGTGCCTGCATCTCTTTCTAATTTACGGGGTTTCTCGATCACGTGACTTTAATGAAATATGAGAGTGTTACGTTGGCGATATACCCAGCTCAGCTGCATTTTTACATAGACATATTATAATATAAGATAGACACTGCAGCAATACAGTCGCGTTCACCTAGTGCGACAGAGACAAATGACGCAAAGCAATCTCTTCATCTCTTTCTAATGAGCCAGGCTTATTGACCACGTGACCGTCTTATTTGTCATTAAGGCGTGTACTAAATATACTCAAAGTCAAAATATCCTCAAATCTATTATAGTTTCAAAATCTGAATAGGCTGTATTTAAATGTTGGACATTGATTGAAACATCGTCTTCCTGGCAGATTACCTGGAACAAATTGGAGAATTAGGACAATTCGTGCCATCCAATGTTTTGCTTCATCAGTTTAACTCTTTCAAGAAACACTGAAACGATCAACTTTGTTTTATCAAATTTAAGCTCTCACCTTGCAACTACAAGTTCACTATATTTAATTTAGCAAACAAATCTGTCAAATAAGCTAGTGTGCTAATAAGGTGCTAGTGATTTTATCCTCTTAAAGACTAAATATATTCATTTTCTCGTAGTTTAAATACTTAATAGTAGTTTTGTTGTCAGTACTGGAAAAATCAGTAATGCTGTATATCTTCAACACATGTTTACTAGCCATTATATACCCAGATCTAAAAAATAAACTCAGAAACTATTACAACATTCAAAAAACACTTTTTTAAACACTCATTAGGGCAATTTGATAGAAAGGTTTCCACATAATACATATTATATTACAACTCAAACTACGAGAAAACGAATATATTTAGTATTTGACAAAACAAAATCACTTTCAAGAAAAAAAGGAATAAAACATTGATTTAAATATGTTTCAACTTCGTAAATAAATTCAATGAGTTATTAATTTATTTTAAAATAACCCTGATAAAAACAACAACAAAATACCTTGAAATTTTGAAATACAGTAAAAAAATAATTAAAGTTTTAATCATACAATACCATACCCTTAAAATATGAACATTCATACTAAATATCTGAATATACTTTGATATTCTACCTCCTAAATTCACGAACAACAATTAATACCAATCGTACAAAATGAATGTTCATAACCAAAAGTCGTTATTTATTCTTCAATTAAAAATCCAATATTTTCTTCAACAACAACAGAAGTCCCAACTTCTTATGGGACAAATACACACAAATTAGAAATGACGCTCATTCTGCCGTCAGACTTAGGTAGTCCATTGGTGGAAGGTTTCGCCATTATCTTCATTGAACTGCGCAAAGTCAAAGCATTGTTTCGGATTAAATTTACTATATTAATGACAAATTGGAGAGATTCTTGTAATTTTACATTCAAATTTTTAACGACATTGATATTCACAACGTGTTTGTATACTTCAAACAGGCATACGACTCAGTCAAAAGGAACAAACTCTACAATATATTGGCTGAATTGGCAATACCACTCAAGCTAATTAGACTTATTTAAGCCACGATGGATGAAACTCAGGCATGTCTACGATTACAAAACCACCGGACAGACTTTTTCAAAATTTCGCAGGGACTAAAGCAGGGAGATGGGCTGGCCCCAACTTTATTTAACCTGGCACTGGAGTATGCGATTAGGCAAATGCAAACTGGATGAAAAAACCTACTGATCTATCGAACTGTTCAACTGGTTGCTTATTCTAATGATATTAATATTATGATTAGAACATCGAACATCAACAGGAGCACAGGAAACATACGCAGAGTTAAAAACGCAAACAAAAATGCTAGGTCTATAAATTAACACAGAAAAAAAATGATACAGACAAGAAGAAATATAGTCCCACAAAGGGGACATGAAGATGACACTGAAACGGTCGGAAAGTTTACATACCTGGGAGTAGAAATATATGCCAACGGATCAGAAGATGAAGAAATACGGAAGAGAATAACGTAGACAAATAGAGCTTATTTTGCCCTCTCCCATATATTTCGGTATAAAAATGTTCACCGAAATACAAAGATGAGAATCTATAAAACCTTAATTCTACCAATAGCATGCAGTGAAGCGTGGGTCCTGAAAGAAACATCCAAAATCAAACTCGACACATTCGAAAGGAAAGTACTGAGGAGAATACTAGGACCTCTGAGAGAAAACGGAATCTTCAGAAGTCGATACAATAACGAGCTTAGACGACTCAGACTTCATTAGAATACAAAGATTGCAATGGGCTGACATGTGATAAGAATGGAAGAGGATAGGCTACGAAAAAGGGACTATAGTGCCGTAGAAGAAGAAGATGTCCATAATAATGCTTCATTAACAGGTAAGATTGAGTCGTCCAAATGGATAGAGAACTGGGTCATTAGCAAATAATTACACAAGAAACTTTTAACATCGTAACTCATTTCATCAATACGTTTTTAAAGTGTGTTGTTGCTCAAAGGCATTGTTTTAATGATATCAGATGCAAGTTTGTGTAGAACAGTTGTTAAAACCTCTTCAACGGCTGGCAAAATTAACTGTTCTCCGATAGTATGAGGTTTTCCGGATTTTGCAATAAGCAACGAGATATTGTAAGACGCTCACAAACCATCATCGTTTCTTTGTGAGTTTCTTCTGAAGTGTTTGAAAATATTTCAAATCTTCATCTATTTTATCAGTGTGACATATTCTTAGATAACTTCATAGCATCATTGCTAAAAACTTCGTTACATAAAAGGCACAAAGGCATTTGTTTGTATAATGATTGATGATTTAAATTTCTTGCCATTGTTTCCGATTTTCACATCTCCCCGATCTACATCATCTTGTATTTTTCCATTTATTATCTTTCCAAACAATCTCCCAAAAGTAGGTAGGATACTTAATCCTCTAAAGATGGACACTTGGTGAGTGGTTTTCCATTCAGATGATATTTTAATTTGTTGGCAGCATTGATTCATTAGAAAAGGTATTCGTTCTATTAGGAGTGGACCTCCTGCTTTAAGTAACTCTACAGCTATATTGCTTGGTCCTGGAGATCGTCCGTTTTTCATTTTAATTAACGCAGTAGGGACCTCGTTGTTAGTCTCTCCATACTGTATTCTTCTCCCATATATTCCAATCTGGACTCTTGGAGTACATTTTTATAGTGATTTTTTCACATTCTATGGGAATTAAGTTGTTTAAGGAGTTATGGGTACTTTTCATTAGATTAGTGATAGTTCTCCAATCTTCCGTAGTTTGAGAACCACCAATTAAATTTTCAACTTGGACACATTTTTGTTCTTAGAAATTGTTTTTTACTTCTTTTATTTGATTGAGTACTTCTCCGTTTTTTCTTTGATATGTTTCTCCATTGCTGGATGTTTTATTTGTTATCCATTTCTTCTATATTTTGTTTTTTCTTGTATCATTTCTTTTACGGTTTTGGTCATCCATGATGGTTCGTGGTGTTTTTTGTTTTTATTCTCTGTTCCTAATACTTCATAAGCAATTTTTTTATTCTCGTTTTGAGGTTGTTGTATTCCTGTTCTACATCCATATTTCTTTCTATTTCATTTAGTTCATTTTCTAGTCTAGATTGAAAAAGATGTTTAATACTTGGTAGGAATAAAAGGCGCAGTTTATATCTCTCCGTTTTGTACAGTGTAGTCTTATTTCTCTCACTTTCGCTGTTCTCTTTGTAGTATTGTTTAAAGGGATACAAAAGATTAGCTAAAAGAAAGTAGTGATATGTCACACAGTTAGATCCTCTTTGATTATGCAGTCTTGGCACTTAAATTTTGATTTCTTATATTTTTATATGTTTGTCTTTATCTTTATATATATTTATTTGATTTCTGATTATATATTCTATGATCGACTTCTGTTGGAATTCCCAAGTGCATTTATGAATATCTGTATGTTGGAATTGGGTATTCATTATTTTTAAACGAAAAAGTAGACAGAACTCGATTAAACTATCCCCTGAACCATTTTTAACTATTTCTCCGTGCCTTCCCACCACGTCATCATCTATTTGAGAACCTACTCGGGCATTTAGGTCTCCTACCAGTATTATTTCTTGTCGACTTTTTATTTTATCACAAATGTTTGATAACTCTTCATAAAAGGAATCTTTAACTTGTTGAATTGAATTGTCTGTTGGCGCATATACTCCAACAAGTATTCTTTCGATGCCGTACAATGTGACAGTTATTGTCAAAATTCTTTCTGAGATGTACGCATAGTCTTTTATATATTTTTGTAACGATTTTTTTATAACTATTGAGACCCCTGATTTAGCGTGTACGTGTTTCTCTACTCCTGATCATATATGAATATAATGTAGTCTTTAGTCTGTTCATTTCCTTTGCCTTTCTTTTTGGTTTTAGAGAGCACTATGGTGTCCATTTTTTGCTTCGTCAATTCAGTTAAAATTTCCATTGTCTTGTGAGTCATGCCTTGAGTGTTCCAAGTAGCAATTTTCAAAGTCCTTTTCTTTGCCAGGTGTCGTCGTCGTAAGTTTCCATTCATATTCCGAAGCTCGGCGTTAGAATTTTTAGTCAACAGAGTTTTTCCCAGATGATGAACTGGCCCATTTTGAAGGATTTTCTTTCTTTAGTTCCAGTTTAGACATCTCCCAGTTTTAAGACGTCTCGCCTTTCACCCTCTCACCGCTGCTATATAACGCACATCCATGTGATCCATGGTACGCCATATACCCGGTGGTTACGCGACATATATGTCTTCGAGGACGTGCGAGTAGGATTTACTGGCAGAGCCGAGTTCTGTCTCCGGAACCCCCAATCCTTTCGTTGGGAAACGGGTGGACGGGAGTTTTATTGCAATATAAGAGTCGACATCCCATGTTACCTCCGAGGTCCATAACCAGCCTTCAACCACTTCAATAATAACTTAAGCTTTATAAATCTTTACATTTTGTACGAAATATAATCCCTAAATAACTATTTCGCTTCATGTTATATTTTTTCATTGTGATTTTAATTTATTTTATTTAATTTACCTTGTACTTGTTTATGGTTAGCCTCAAATTTTGATACGCTCCTGCGATAGTTCTAGTAATGCTACTGCAACTGCAAGTCATCATGATTTCCTTAATGATATGTAAATTGTGTAGAAAATTGTAAAGTATTATGATTCTAGCTTTACATTTGTTGTAAAACGGGGATCAAAAAGAAGTCTGACAACACCGCTTGGAAATGACTCAAAAGTTGCGTCGAATCACACCGGCATTATTTCAGAGAAGTCGTCCAATTTATATTTTCCATTCACATATTAACAGACCGCATTCCACCGGTAGTTGTGGCCGAACCAAGTACTAAGTTTTAGTTCAACTGTTCTTCCTTCACCGGTAGGTAATTTGTGTGTAGACGCACCCAATACGTTAATTAAACAAATATTTTTGATATATACTCCAAAAAATTTCATCTAGTTTAAATGACATACGCAGTTTATTTTTTTATTTATATAGCGATTAGAGTTATAATTTTCTTAACTATTCCTTTTTTATATTAAGCATTTTATGACAACTTGTAATTCTTAGACGTGGCCAAAAGTTTTAAGCAGAATTTAATTGATTCGTGTGCTTTGTAATTGTAGGTACTTACATGTCTCAATCCGAAATTCCCGTTAAAATGTGTATGTATACTGTTGTATTAAAATCGTTTTTTAATTCTATTATTTATTATTTCCACATAGTTTATTTATTTTTACTAAGGCTAAAGAGGCCCCTAGGCAGCATTGTCATTCCGGTCCTATTTTTCAGTTATGACGCATACTTTGCGTTTATTAGTTTGGTCTTAAGGCCGATCCTCGCGATTCTGGGCATAGGTAAATTCCAATGTAAAAGTTTATATCAAATAACGCAAAAACTATGGCAGATATTGAGATGATTCTTTTTTTATATGGAAGGTCTAAAAAAGTTCTAGTGCACTATTTGATTGTAAATTAATAAATTGTTTAAACAATATTTTTTTTTCAAATATTTTTGTTTAAAATAAACGAAAAAAAAATTTTTTTTAAATAGGGCACTACAGAATTTGACCCACTTTCCGAATCTGTTTTTATTTTTAACATAAAGTGTAACACAAAGCAGCTATTTGATATAAACTTTTAAAAAATTTCAAATTTTTGCTAAACGCAATTTTCTCTCCGTCAGCACAGGGTGTCCTTGTCGGTAGCTTTTGGATTCTCGCCAGGTAGCTAAAACCCTCGGAGGAGGATAAATAAAGTTGAATAACATTATTAGGGCTTATTCCGACTTTTGACAAACCAGTGCGTTTATTGTATTTAAAATAGGAAATGTTATATAAATAAGCAGTAAGTATCCGTAATTTTATTAAATTTTTATACGAATAGAAATATTTTCTGTTGATTTTCCATTTTCTTTCTAAATATTTATACTGTTTTTATAATAATACAATTGTTTCAGTATTTGCTTATATAATAATAATTTATTATATAGAAACAGCGTAGAGTTTTGGTCAATCATCCAGTACGTTTTTTTTGTATTTCAATCAGAATTATTATTTTCTTTTCTTCTTTACATGAGCTCAGAGTAATAACCAAATTTGCAGTATTTGAATATGAAATTTAATTATTTATATTTATTGGTTAGCAACCTACCAATCGTAAAATCAAATACTGCTCAAAGAAACAATGTACAGTTTCGGAACTGGATTGATACTATGAAGACGACTACGGCAATAAATAAGGACAAGCAAAAAACATCCAAAACCCAGATGACAATTACTTGGAATATCAGATCACTCAACTCAAGGGACCAAGAAATAACCCAAGTGTTGAAAGAGAAAGAAATCGACATTTGTGCTCTACAACAAACAAAAAATAAAGGAAAAGGTCAATCAAAATTAGGTGAATACATACTTATCTACAGTGGAGTAGCAAAAGAAAACAGGGCCAAAGAAGGTGTAGCCTTACTAATACACCAAAGGTATCAAAATTACATCAAAGAGTGTCAATACATATCAGAAAGAATAGTAACATCAAAGATAAGAATGGAGAACGAAAACCTGAACATTATCGGAGTATACGGCCTAGAAAATAATAAGCCTCAAACAACAAGGGAAGTGTTTTACGACCAATTACAACAAGTAGTAGATCAAGTCAAAGAAAAGGTGATAATTCAGAGCTAATTTGATTATAATAATTAAGGAACCTCATTTTTTGCCATGTTAAGGAATGGGATTTGTATTTTTTGTTGAAAAATTTGCACAAACATTGTACCTTTACAGGACCCTCTACGAATTTTCAAAAATGTAGTTCAAATGGTGACTAGGAAGAACCTACAAATCCAAACCGAACAAGCAATTTCAAACTAATAAAATTTTCTATATCTCCGGATCTACTCAATGGATTTTGATCATTCTTATTTTTTTATTTTGTATGATCTATTTTTAATTTGTATGTAATTTCTACGTACATTAGGAATTAGTAATTTGTTTATATATTAATTAATTAATAAATAGTCTAGTTTGTTTAAACAATTCGTGCAAAACAATTTTCTTCCAAAAATCTATTTTTTTTTAATACTAGTATCAATAATCATAGAAACAGTTGCGTTTTTTGCATTAAATTGTCAATAATTAAAAAACAGCTCCAAATTCAAGGCAAAAAAAGAAGTAGGTTTTCTTCCTAGAGGTCTACAATAACTAAAAAAGTTGTCAGCGACCTGGATTATTGAGTGTCACGAACATGGTCTATTTTTTGCTTATTTCCCTGGAGTATATATTTGATTAACATCTGTGTAATTTCTTTGTCGCTTCCTCGCTGGTTTTGCATATTGCTATGATAGCAATATCTTCGGCAAATGTTGCAATTGTATATTTTCTAGGACAATAATATAACACGTATACAAAAGGTAAAGACACTTCTTTGTGGCAGCCCTGCTGTAATATCTGTCAATTCCATGTATGTTTCTTCCTGTTTAATTCTGAAATATCTTTCCAAGATGGAGGAGTCAATTATTTGAGAGTATCGTTTTGGTAAATGTAGTCTTAGTTTATAGTTATGGCGTCTTTGCCATACTTTATCATATACCTGAGTCACATCCTAAATTATTGATATAAGGTTGAATGCTCGAATAAATGAACTTTAAAAAATGAAGGCAAATTTCGAGCACAAATTTAATAATCAAATCTTGCAAAAGTACTTTCGCTTTCTACAGCATCATCAGGGGCATCTGCGCTTGCTGGATAGACCAAATTTGACGAAGTAAGTCTAAGATGTTAATCACAAAAAACTTTTATCATCCATTAACTTCGAGTTTTTTATCGAAGTTTATTAATTTTCTTCATTTAAAAAAACTTTTCTTGGCTTATTTCAGATTCCCCTGATGATGCTGTAGAAAGCGAAAGTACTTGGGCAAGATTTGATTATTAAATTTGTGCTCGATATTTGCCTCAATTTTTCAACGTACATCCTAAAATGTCAAAATGTCCATCATATTATCCTTTATGATCCATATTTCACATCCATATAAATAGTTATACAGTATATTTCATCATCATCATCATCATCATCATCAATGGCGCTACAATTCTTCGTAAGTCTTTGCCGCGGTTACTATTGCCTTCCATGTTTGTCGGTCCTGTGCCAGTAATTCCCATTATCGCACTCCTATTTTCTCTAGATCTAGGAGTATATTTACATATAACAAATTAAATCCTTAGTTGTAAATTTTTGAAATAAGTACTCAGTATACATCTAAGTTTCATAAATGCTCCTCATAAATCTCATAAATCTAAACTTTTGTACTCCGTTCTTTGTTGACAATTAGTTGCATAGGGCCGACGTTTACTAACCACAAGCACACAAGTAAATTATCTTATTTCTTTCATTTGACAATAATAATTGTCTGTTAGATTAGCACTGTAAGAAGTAAATTAGTCTCTTACTGAATGATAATAAACAACACATCAAACTTATTCTGAAACTATTTCTTGTGTCATGGTATATTTTATTAGATTTTGGTGTAATAAATCACAACCTATCAAATTCAATATCAAAAATCAAAATTGGAAATGATAGCGTAATTAAATTATTCCTTCCTTCAAGAAATTTTAAAAAGAACTGATTTCTATAACTATCCAGTGCCAGGACAGTTATTTTGTTATTTATATCGAATAGAGAATACTGTTAGTTTGCGGTATGGACCCCAAAAAATATTTTATTCGAAAAGATTGATAAATATATGGAACTGTGGGAAAATATGCTACAAAAATTTCAAGATTTTTATTATAATTTTTATTTGAAACACCTTCTGAAGAAACATTAGACATAATTCTATATTTATATCGTTTCATTTAATCAATTTTAATGATAGTGATACTAATCAAATTTTTATGATATATAATAATAATCTTTTTTTTTATAATTTTTATTTTCCGTAAACTTTAATCTACGTTAAACTCAGCCAATTTTTCCGTAAAAAAAATAACAAATAAATTATGTATGTACATTTGTTACATTGTAAATTTATGAATAGATTATATTACTTTGATCTATTATTATATTTACTCAAAATACCACTAAAGAGTTTTATGATCTTATTGTAAGCCAAACTTGTCACTGCAGGGGTTGTCTCGGTGTATAATCGGCTCGAGTAAAAGGTAAACGCATTTTTGACCTGGGCTTGAAAGAGATCTAAACGAAGTTTAGAATATTACTTCATGAACAGATTTTGTTTTCGTAAAGAAAGAAATTTTTGAAATAGAGATAGCAAACTGAAATTTACCGTTAGAATATTCGAGGATAAGCCTTAAAGCGACCACATGGATACAGGCGAAATAATATTTTATTACACAAAATTGTCACAAAATTGTAATACTGTTCTGCTAGGTTTAAATCTTGTTCATAACATTTTAATTCCTCTATTGAATAGTCACTAACATAATTATAAAAAATTGTTTTGAATTTATTGTTAATAGTGTTGTATCCCTCAGATCTGTTTATAAGTATAATGATTTATCAATTAATCATATATTAGAACTACTGTATTTAGGGATTCGTCTTTTTGTTGAAGAGTCTTGTTTGAAGCATTTATCCTCTCTAAAATCTTTTCCAATACAGTAAGTAACAGTATACTCAAATATATAAAGTTTTTTATCTAAACCGGTAGCTTCGGACCTTGTTAAGGGTTTTTCATCTTTGTTTGAGGAAAAATAACGTAAACAATGTTTAATTTCTTCGTAATTTTCCTCTAAGGATTTCACAGCATCGGAATGAGCAGCCCATCTAGTGTTACAAATAGGTTAATATTCAAGTAATGTCTAAATCTACATTATTAAAAAATTCTAAAATAACTTTCTCCAAATTTTCAACAGTATCAGA